CTGGCTCGGTCATCTTTGGAGAAGCACGCTGAGGTTGGTACCTGCTCTGGCCTGTCCAGTGAACTCTGGATCGTCCAGCCTTTGTAGAGCGTCTCTGCCTTTGGCTTCTCCTCTGGCTCGGTTTTCTTTCATCTGTAATTCTTTTCCTCATTAATTCTTTGGCCAAAGATCAGTGGGGAAGCAGAAGAGTGATAAAGCTTAGGTTAGCTTATGTCACGCCCCGTTGGGCCAGCTCCCCTGCTCCAGCCGCAAACCCCAGGTCTGTCATTTCTTCCCCAGGAGTTTTGCCTTTTCCAGAAAGTCCTGTAAATGAAATTGTGTGGTCTGGAGCCTTTTCAGTCTGCTGCTCTCACTTAGCACAACGCGTTTGAGGTTCGTCCCTGTTGTTGCACGTACTGGTATTTTGTCCCTTTTCCTTCTAACTAGTTGTCCGTTTGGTGGGTAGAGTACGATTTCTTTATCCAGGCACCAGTTTATGGACCTTTGGTTCCTTTCTAGTCTGGGGCAATTTGCATAAAGCTGCCCTAAGGGTTTGCATACAAGTTTTTTGTATGGACATTTGTCTTCAGTTTTCTGGGGTAGAAATACCTAGAAGTGGGATTCCTGGGTCATATAATGTTTATTTAACTTTATAATAAACTGCTAAACTGTTTTCCAAAATGATGTGCCGTTTTACACTCTGATCAGCAGTGTATGAGGGTTCCATTCATTTCCTTGACAACATATAACACGGTCGGTTCTTTCTGTTTTAGTTCTTCTAATGAGTGAGTAGTGGTATCTCATGGTGGTTTTAATTTGCATTTGCCTCGGGGGACTTTTAGACTAGTTCCAAAAACCCATTGCCTCCAGTCGATTCCCACTCATAGCGACATTGTAGGACAGAGTAGAACTGCCCCATGGGATTTCCAAGGAGCACCTGGTGGATTCAAACTGCTGACCTTTTGGTTTTTGCACTAATAGTGCCCTATATTCATCCATTTCTAACTCTGTGACTGTGGACGAGTCATTTTACCATCTCGCTCAAGGTCTCAGTGTCTGCATCTGTAAAATGGGCATAATAATAAGACCAGCCCCATAAAGCTATAAAGAAGTTTAAATAAAAAGAAAGAATATAAAGCACTTAGCTAGTATTCATAGTGCCTGGCACACAGTAAGACACAATAGGTGTTAGCTGTAATCATTTATTTTTATTATTATTATTATTATATGTATACCAAACTGTTGCTGGCCAGTCAATTCCAACTCATAGTGACCCTATGGGACAGAGTAGAACTGCCCCATAGGGTTTCCAGGGAGCGGCTGGTGGATTCAAACTGTCTACTTTGGTTAGCAGCTGGAGCTCTTAATCAGTGCACCACCAGGGCTTCGTTATAGTATAAAAACCAAACCCTCTGCCACTGAGCTGATTCCAACTCATAGCAACCCTGTACATCAGAGCAGAACTATCCCGTAGAGTTTCCAAGGAGTGGCTGGTGGATTCGAACTGCCAGCCTTTTGGTTAGCAGCTGTAGCTCGCCGTAGCTCTTAACCACTGTGTCGCTATTATGGTATAGACATACATAAATATAATTCCAGGTAGATTGGGCTGTGTGTCATAAAATCTATTCAAATAGAGATGCCCTGTGTAGCTGGTAAGATCGGGGGCATTTGAAATAGGCTTTGATAGATTGAAGGGATGTGCCCACATGGAGGTGCAGAGAACCTGGGCATGGGAGCAAAGGTGCAATCGGACCATCCCTGCTGAACTGCTCGTTGCTAACAGATGATCGGGAGGTAAGGATGTTCATGAAGATTTGGCCCACTCGTCTGGATGATTGCCTCATTCCAAATCTTCTTCTTAGTTTAAATAGCTCTTTTCTGATCTCTGATACTGAAATGTATTTTATAATTATAGTATTATAATTTTATGTTATAGTATTAACAGTTGAATCTTTCAATAACCATTAATAATGTATTCATAGGTATTATTCATTCCCTTGCCTTTTTTTTTTTTTTCCCTGGATGTTTATAGAGCCTAATTCTGGCCAATCTTCCCTTGGAAAATTGTTACTTTTCAAGATTAAAAGAAAGCACAGTAGCGGTCTTTGTAAAAGAAAAGCCACAATCCTGTTTGGCTTCATTCTTCCTGCGTCTTCAGCCTCCCCAGCACTTGTCTAGTTGATCAGCCTCCAAGAGTCCCAGAGCACTCCCAAGTGTCTTTCAAACGCAGCTCTTGATAGTGTTTCTTTGGTCCCAATACCATTTTTCAGATACTTTCTGTGACATAGAGATCAAATTTAAGTACTGCAGAGGTCAGGAGACAGTCACATTCTTATAAAGCAGTGGCTGTTCTTCTTTGTGCTGTGTCTTAAAGAAGGGTACTGAGTCCTTGTCCTCTAGCCCTCAGGAACTGAGACACTTGTTGGATTACAGCACACAGTAGGGTCTGAAAAATGGTTGTTAAATAGTTTCAAAGTAAAGATCTTCCTACTAGTGTAAAAAGGTTACTTCCCAGGACCCTCCCCTACCTTGTCTTGGTGTGTGCCCTTTCTCTTCCCAGAGCCCAGCAGAGAGACTGGAGCACTGTCTTGAGGTTGCTGCTCCACTTTGCACGACCCTGAAATGTGCTCCTGGTAGCATCACGTGAGGCTGGGGCGGTATGCTGCTGGTGCAGCCACAGGCACAGACCATTGCAGAAGCCAGGCCATGGGTCCAGTGAAACCACAGAGCCCCAGGCCTTGCTGCAGGTACAAGGGGGAGGGCCGTGCTGAGTTCAAGGTGAGAGGCTGGGGACCAGCTTGGGCACTGGCGGATGTCCCTGCTCTGAGCCTGTACTCCCTGGAGGTGGAGTCCATCTCAGCATACCCTCCTCCCCGACCCGCTGTTGTCAGTGGATGGGAGGAGTCGGGCAGTGGCACCAACAGCCCTCTTCCTCCTTTCCTTTAGAGGTACTCCTCCTCTACTGCACCCTTCCTTGCTTAAGAACTTTACCTTCGTTTTACCAAACTCCTGCTCAAAGGAGGAAGGACAGGAGCTCCTTTCCATTACGCCAAGGTTCATACAACGTAGGGACAGGGCCGAGGTAGGCAGCCCTGTTAGGGTTCACAGTAGGGCCCGTTTTTACCCATTACGCTTGCCAGTTAACCTTATACTGCCGTCTGACCCAGCCAGTAGTCTTCCACGTGTGGACCCTTTGGGTGTCAGGGGCCACTGTGAAAATGTGCAAATGAATCAGTGCAGACCTGTCTTCTCTGCCAAAGAAACAGCCCCGGAGTCCTGCAGTGGGCCTCAGCAGTCTCATTTTTATGGAGGTGCTTATCATGGTGACCTTCTGAGCATGAGAAGAAGGGGGAGCAAACAGATGCTTCAGCTTCACCAAGACTTGCCCTTGTAATTGCGGAAGTGTTTTCCAGAGAGCTCTTTTATTTCCGTTATATTGTTGCTGAACATAACTAAGGTCATTTGCACGAGTGTTGTTGCATTTCTGACGCCAGAGTTTGCTGGCCTACGTGTGAGATTGGAAAGCCCTTCTAAGGGTATCTCACTTAGCTCATTTAACCTTCAGCAGCTCAGGGCTTCTGGTTCCCCTGGGTTAGGAGGAATCTGAGAATTTCCCAGAGAAAACTCTAGTTAACAGCAAGGGTGTCACCTCATGAGGGAAGTGCAGGAAGGAGAGGAGTGCCTGCACTGTGGGAGCAGCCGAGGGCTCTGGCAAGCTGCGAGAGCAGGCAGGTCTGCGAGGGAAAGAGGGCACAGTGGAAAGCAGGGAGGTCCCACCCCTTCCTCTGGCAGAGTGTGGCTGTTCTCTGGCATGACCACGAGCTGGAGTCTACAGCAACACCACCACCCACGTGTGCTTGGACCAGGGGGCGGGACGCAGAACAACCCTTGGGAGTCCCAGCAGGAGCCTTGGGGAGGCACATGGTAGCGTGAGGCAGCTGACATGGAGAGTTCTCCCCTGAACAACCCTTGGGAGTCCCAGCAGGAGCCTTGGGGAGGCACGAGGTGCCATGAGGCAGCTGACATGGAGAGTTCTCCCCTGCAGCCAGTCTCTGAAATCTAGGTTGGTATTTTAACAGTGCTGGAAAAAAGATGGTTTCTAGCTTCATGTAGCCGATGCTGTATTAATATGTTTTACATTATTTGGGTGTCTGAACGTAAATGTGGTCAGATAACCTGTCTTGGATTTCTGGATGCTTCTACAAATGCAGGGGTTAGGAGTGGTCGGGGATATTTATATCAATACCATGAAATTACTCACAGGAGCCCATTCCTTCTGCACTGTCATAGGGGCCATGTTCTTTCTCTTCCAACAGCAGGAAGTCTTAACATCACCGCTGTGATAAAGTTTTCCTACCAAAATTCTCACCTTAGAAATTAAGACAAAGAATTAATTCACAAAGATCCCTTTTTAAACCTTTTGTGGTTTTTCTTAGCCCAAAAGCATCTTCCTGTTTGATAGAGGACATTGTTTACAAGGTTTTTGAGATTTCCTATCTGGTCATTCTTCATGCTTTGTGACAGAGTTCATGTATTTCTAAAGATAACGTTTAGAAAATGTGTATTTAGGACAATTCAGGACGTTTTCTTGAGTATCATCTAAGGTGTGCTCCTGTGCTAAGTATATTCCTAGTAAATATTTAGCGTGTTTTACATGTCAGGATTTTAAAGCACTCACATTTCATATTTCCAGATTACTACTTTGAAATCTCAATATTGAATTTTTTTTTTCTATTTCTCAGCCCTGAGCCCTGGTGGCGCAGTGGTTAAAGCGCTGGACTGCTAACTGAAAGGTCGGTGGTTCAACACCACCAGCAGCTCCTCGGGAGAAAGATGTGTCAGTCTGCTTCCACAGAGATTCACAGCCTTGGGAACCCTTTGGGGTGGCTATGAGTCCTAATCGACTCAACGGCAGTAGGTTTTGTCACTGTGTCCCAGGCACTGGCTGCATTAAGCATTCCGCACTTACCTCATTTGAATCCTTTTAGTAACCTGAAATGCTGGTGTTACTATCTAACTTCTACACATTCACATAGCTAGGAGTTAGCGAAGTCAGGATCCAGCCAGGCCTTCCACGCCCTCCCGTGTTCCTCCAAGTGCCGTGAGCCCTCTCTGAACCCACTACCCCTCTGCATCACCCGCATGAGGCCATGGCTGGTGCGTTTGCTAAAGCTCCCAGCTGACCGTCTCATCCTTTCCAAAATACGTAATCAACAATTACAATTTCTTATTTGACGCTTAACTGGAGGGGTTGCAGGCTGAAACGTAAGCACAAGATGGCAGCCCTGGGGTGATACTTAAAGACGTTTACATAAAAACATAAGCTATCTGAAGTTTAACGTGGCCAACTTGTAACGGAAATTTTCCTTTAAATTGTTAAAAAAAAATTTTCCCAATAATGAAGCAGTACTTGGAACTGTTTATTATGGAAAAAAAAACCCACAGTAGGTTGGATTATAGGGGGTTTTTAATGACTGTTTTTTTCCTTCTCTGATAGTCTGCTGCCGGAAACATTAATTGGAAGTATGTGCTCTGTTCACTTGTTGGCGTTTTATCGCCAGATCCTTGGAGACGTGCTCCTAAAGGACAGGATGAGCTTGCAGAGTGCTGGTAAGGGGTCTGCACCATTTCCTCTGTGCAGTGATGCTCATGCTTTGAATAAGTGTAACCATGCCAGCCTGTAGCTCCTGCTTCTGAAGGTGAAATTGGGAAAAAATATTTAGAATAGCATCGGTCTCAGTGAATTATTTATTAAATGCCTGCTTATGCGAAGCAGTGTGCTCAGTATGTATCTTATGTCAGCTCAGTATGTATTAAAACAAAAAACAAAGCCAAACCTGTTGCGGTCAAGTTGATTCCGACTCATAGCGACCCTATAGGACAGAGTAGAACTGCCCCATAGGGTTTCCAAGGAGCAGCTGGTAGATTCGACCTTTTGGTTGGCAGCCGAGCTCTTAACCACTGCACCGCCAGGGCTGCAGTAAGTGTTCAGTTCTTTAAAACAGACACATTTTCACATTTCATATTCTGGCGGTTTGAGATCCTAAAACTCAAAAATGGTCGTATTTTCCCTGCCTGAAGTGTCTGACGTGTTTTTCCGTGTGTTTTGTGTGTACATCATCTCTTTGGGAACAGACCAAAATCACCCACAATAGCTGTCTTTTTAATCACATAGCTTAAATATCAGTGGGTTAGTTAAACATAGGTGAATCTGGCTAGGAGATATTCGGGGGCTGTATGTACTGTTTTTATTCTTGCAACTTTTAAGTTTGAGATTTGTTTCCAAGTAAAATATTTACAAAATTTTTACCTCAGTTTTAAAGGCAGAGTGCATGTGTGAGAAGAATTAGCTCTGTAAAAAAAAAAATGTGTAATTTTTATTTGCTATTCTTTTAATTCAGTAAATCAGTAAACAGATACGTCCTGAGTGCCCAATATGTCCCAGACACTGTGCTAGCCCAATTATGAGGAGACACACAGTCTCAACCCTCGTGGTTTGACAGACCTCAAACACAAAGTTACATGAATAATTGTTTCAGCCTTTAAAAGTAAGTGTTATGGAGGAAAATACACAAGGAGAGTGTGAACTAGAAAGGCCTGAATTAATGTGTAGGGTCCAGGAGGATTTTCCAGGAGTGATGTTTAAGATGAGACCTGAGAGATGAGTTAGAGATGTGGTGGGGGTGGGGGGCTGCTGAGGGGAGCAAGGAGGAGGAGGAGGAAGAGAAGGAGGAGGAGGAGGAGGAAGAGGACCCTTTCTGAATAGAGGGATCAGCGTGCATGAAGGTCCAGGGCAAGAAAATGTAGGTTTAATTGAGGAGTTGGAATTGAAGGAAGGCCAATGTGGATGAAGCAGTGAATGAGAGAAGAGCCCCCTAATGGCTTAGCACCCTTGGACACATGGAGTTCATGGTTAGACAGGAGTGTTCTCCCAGGGACTCGCCACCTAGAAAGGCAGATAGAAATGGAGCTCCAAGTCAGAGAAGCTTAGAAATTCCTCGGAATGGTTTGTAACTCTTAAGGGGGTACAATAAAACCTTTTAATCGTCACTTGCCTTTGAATTTATTTCAATGACTCTTGAAAAACTTCATGAATGATGTGACTTCTTAAAGGAGATAAATTCACCATTTTTCCTACAGGTAAGGAGAAGGGCACTCAGAATCATTGACGTCATTTGAATTTGTCCATCAGAATAAACCGAGAAAGATCTAGAGAGAGAAAGTATTTGTCTCTCCTGAGGACCAGGTTAAAGAGTCGATTACCCTTGTCACCAAAGGAGTCCTTCCTGGTGTGCAGCTTTGCGCAGGTCCTTCACGTCCCATTTACTGTGGAATATCAATATCCTCCTATATGATGTTTAGCCACGTAGCCAGAATCCCCAGCTCCTGATTCCTTCCAGTTTCATCCACCCCCTCCCAGGGCCCCAGACACGAGTCCAGTGTCCTCCCCACGCACCACCTGTAAGGCCGAGACGCGTCAGGTGGGGGCAGCTGCCTGGTGCCTCTTGCACAGCTCTGGTTCCTGCTCAGCCTTCCAAGAGCAGAACAACAACAACGAAAAACCACACCCACTGCCGTTAAGTCGATTCTGACTCGTAGCGACCCCACAGGACAGAGTAGAACTGCCTCATAGGGTTTCCAAGGAGCAGCTGGTGGATTCGAACTGCCAGCCTTTCGGTTAGCAGCCGTAGCACTTAACCACTACGCTACCAGGGTTTCCTCCAAGCGCAGAGTGCCGCCTGATTGGAAGATGCTTTTTACTGTACCACAGTCGTAAGGAGGAAAGAGAGGTTGGAAAAAATACAGGAACATTTTATAATCTTCCACTGTCCGTAGTGTAGTCACTACACCCCTCACCCGAAAAGCTCGATCTTTTTTGTTTAAGACTCATTTCAGAACTCCTTAGAATGTGGGTCTAAGGCAGATGGAGGCTGGGGGACAGCTTTGAGCTCTCTTAGAGGTTAAAGTGTGTAGAACGTGTTATCAACCAGCCATTTGGTGCAGTAATTTCAATGCGAGCGAATGCTCATTACATCTATCGCAGTGGGACATGCTCAGTGACGTTTGTGTTAAATCCTTCCTGTTGTTTTGTGTTTCAGATTTAATTAGCAGTCCAGTGTTGGCCACCTTCCCCAGGCTCTTGGAGCAGCCTGACATTATGGATGCTCTCAGGGTGAGTAGCGTGCGTCGTGTCGTAAACCTGCTGGGGTCTGAAAGAGTTCCTTACCCGCGTAGTAAGTGTTGTCACCCGCTCTAGGCTGTTGTCCCTCGTTGGACCGTGCGTCCCAATCCCTGCCCGTTTGTCTGGCTAACTTAGTCTCATCCTCCCAGTCTTAGTGGAAGTGTCACATCTGCAGGCTGCCTTCCCTGACCTGGTGAACAGATTGTTGTGGACCACGGTCGAGTTAGCCTGCCTCACGGCAGCCCCACACACAAGGGAACGAAACCCTGCCTGGGCCTGCGCCGTCCCCGTGATGGGTTGCAGATATGACCGTTGTGGTCCATAGGGTTTTCCTTGGCTGATTTTTGGAAGTAGATTGCCAGGCCTTTCTTCCTAGTCCATCTTAGTCTGGAAGCTCTGCGGAAACCTGTTCAGCATCATAGCAACGTGCAAGCCTCCGCTGACAGATGAGTGGTCATGGTAAACAGGTGCCTGCTGTATATACTTGTGCAATCGCTTGTCTGTTGTTTGTACTTGGATTTAGGATAGCTCCTGATTTTGTCCTGAGAGCAGAATTCCAAGATGATTTGTTAGATAAATCTATCGAGTTTTTCAGGGAGACTCAGGGCATGCAGGTCATTTGTGACTTCATTCAGCATTTGCTATCTGCTAGCTGGAATAAGGAAACCCTGGTGGCATAGTGGTTAAGTGCTACGGCTGTTAACCGAAAGATGGGCAGTTTGAATCCACCAGCCACTCCTTGGAAACTCTATGGGGCAGTTCTACTCTGTCCTGTCGGGTTGCTGTGAGTTGGAATTGACTTCACGGCAGTGGGTTTTTTGGTTAGCTGGAATAACAGCTGGATATTAGCTTGAATCATATGAAATCTCTAGTTTTCACCCTTCAAAAATGGCAGCTTCGTATGGTCCAGCCTAATGTATCAGTGTCAACAAACAGTAGAAGACCTGTATGCCTGCAGGAGCCCTGGTGGCGCAGTAGTTAAGAGCTCAGCGGCTAACCAGAAGGTCGACAGTTCGAATCCACCAGCTGCTCCTTGGAAACCCTATGGAACAGTTCTACTCTGCCCTATAGAGTCGCTGTGAGTCAGAATCAACTCAGCGTCAACGGGTATATGCCTGCAAGGCCATACACAAATCACATGATAAGTGCCATGGGAGAGATGTAATCCATGTCCTTGGAGGTTTAAAGAAGGCAGCAAATGGGGGTCAGGAACCTGTTTCATTAGAGAGGCGAGGGGTGAGGTGGACCTAATAAAAGACCAGGGGCCGAGTAGGATTTTGACAGGCAGAGGTAGAGTTGGAAGGTATTACAGTAGAAGGATCAGCACGAGCAGGCATTTTGAGGCAGGCAGGAATAGTGAGTGTTCTTGAGGAGAGCACACCATCGAGTTTGGCACATTGGGTACAAGCGGCGGGGCCGTCTGATACACGACGTCGGGTACAAGCGGCGGGGCCGTCCCATGGACGACGTCGGGTACAAGCGGTGGGGCCGTCTGATACACAACGTCGGGTACAAGCAGCGGGGCCGTCTGATAGACGACGTCTGATACAAGCGGCGGGGCCGTCCCATGGACGACGTCGGGTACAAGCGGCGGGGCCGTCCCATGGACGACGTCGGGTACAAGCGCTCGGGTCATCTGATGGACGGGCAAGACCGGTCTGAGTCTCAGTGGTAGAGGTGGAACGTGTGATAGGTGGTGGGAAACTGGGAGGGTTTTCGCTCTAGGAAAACACCTCTGACAACAGAGAGCTGCAGAAGCGCGTGAGCAGGAGGCTTGGTAAGCTCTGTGAGGAGGTGACTCTGGTAGATAGGGAGCGAGATCGCACAGGCCTGGCAGCAGGAATGGAAAGGACAAAT